TACTTAATTACTTCTTTGCTTGTTGGACGAGTAATCTTCAATTCTATTTGGAACGAAACGAATTTACCTCAACACACAATAAACAACAAGCAATTAATTTTTGTTCTATTTATCAACATTTCCAACCTGGATGTCATCGCGGCCTTACCGTTTCTTTATAATCGTTTACCAATCAATGCCAAAATTTTTCATAGACTACAATTTTTCATAGACTACATCTTTCGCTTTATTGATCCAAAGTATAATTTTTATCAGTGATAAATTTAACTAATACTTTGCATTTTATAATTCAAATTAAATAATAATTTGCATTTTTAATAGTAGATCTTTTAATTATCTTAGGTGCATAATGCATAATTAGCATCGAACTAATCTGCATTTAAACGAAAATCTCTGCAGTATCGCAGACACACCTTAATTTAAAGAAGTCTGGTGCGCATTGGTCCTGAAAAATTCTCAATTATCGACCTCAGCTACACCTATACTGTCCGGATGCAACTGATATCGCATATATAGAATAGATTAGGCTTTCGAGCATCAAATATAATTTGGTACAGTTGATAGAAATTAATTCTTTGCCACATGCCATTTCATGCATGGCGCTTATGAAGCCACATAATTCAAGTTGAGCATTCAAGAATAAATAAACTATTGAATGACATAGTTGAGAGAATTCAGCCATTTTGCTGCATCACATATAATACAAGGCGCATATTATTACACCTCATGCTCGCTGAACGTTCAAGCATAAAATATTATATAACTATAGCTGAAGCATCAATTATTATATAGCATAGCTGACAGAATACAATTGAACATTTGCCTCATGACATATTATGCGTGGCGCTTACATCATGCACGTTGAGCAACTATGCGTAAGTGAAGCATATAATCCGCAGATGTGTAATGCGGACCAAACCTTAACTGAAAAGAAGGGGCGAGGGGAGTTGTGTTCATTTGAATACCGCGGCTCTGTCATTATATGGCAGCTGATCACGCTTCGCGGGACATGGGGGCTACTGGCTCATGACGCTGCCATGAGAATGTCATGTGGGCAACACAGTGTTATGTTGGGAGCAACAGTGTGGTGCAGGAACAACAGTGCTATGTAGGAAACAACAGTGTTATGTAGGGAGCAACAGTGTTATGTAGGAAACAACAGCTATAGTGTGGAAACTGTGCTATCAAGCACAGTGTTATGTAGCGAACGACAGTGTTATGTAGGGAGCAACAGTGTTATGTAGGGTACAACAGTGTTATGTAGGGAGCAACAGTGTTATGTAGGGAACAACAATGTTATGTAGGAAACACAGTGTGGTGTATCAAACAGTGTCATGTAGGGAACAACAGTATTATGGAGGAAACACAGTGTGGTGTATCAAACAGTGTCATGTAGGATACAACAGTGTTATGGAGGGAACAGAAGGGTTATGTAGGAAACAACAGTGTTATGTAGGAAACAGCAGTGTTATGTAGGAAACAACAGTGTTATGGAGGAAACAACAGTGTGGTGTATCTAGCAGTGTTATGTAGGAAACAACTGTGTTATATGTAGGGAATAAAAGTGTGGTGTAGGCCAGGTAGCAACAGTGTGATGTTGGCTAAGAATTAGGAATCAATGATGCGGGATTCAAGACAGGCCACTACAATGTGATGTAGAACCTTAGAAATGTTCCGAGGCTAGACAAGAAAATGTGAAGTTTATCCCACATCCACCAGTTTTTGTAATTTGGCATGCAAATTTGAAGTGTACCCAGCAACAACACAGATTACTATACCTTGTTTAAATAGTGTGCTTAACTAAAACTATTGGATGTTCAGACTGTGTTGCCTGGTACAGTTCACCTCCAGCTATAGCATTATCTATTATTCGTATATCAATTCTAGTGAATATATACATTATATCTTTTATGTTTTTATCGTATCAACAGTAGTGTTTATTTTTTTCTTTTTGCTTAACTTTTCAGACAAATCTCTACCGACAGCGAAAATTTTAAATTTCTTAGATTAGCCTACGATTTCGAATACCTAAATTAATATCGGTGGGCAATCTCTTTCGTATTCTGCAATGCTATCATGAGAGATCATGAAAGGATTGGTTGCTAGGTTTATAGATAGGTTTCTTCACATCACTTGATTAGTCCAGTGGCAGATCTCCACCAAACAATACGTTATGGGTGAGTTATGGGTGAGTTTGTTCCCCTGAACCAGCGAAGAATTGCCGCGATAGCTGCACCAATAATCTCTATACGTTTTTGCAGACTCGTTTTGAGAAATAAGTAGACTTTTGGAAAATATTTTTACCCTTCTGCCCTCATGTGGGTTATCAGAAACCAAGTTTGACCCGCCAAAGAAGGCGTATCGGTGCTACATGTGTCACTATTAGGGCAATATGACCAGTTAATTGGCAATATGACCAGTTAATTTTTATGAGTGATCTATCGCAAAAAAAAACTAATGTTAACCGCCACGCTTCCCAACTGCTCGTTGTTGTTGCAATCGCGTCGGTTACCGCCATGCAACTGCACGCAGCAATGCCGTCCTGCATGGGCCCATACTTTCAAAACTCGCTAAGTGAACGTAAATACTTACGCTCTATTTTCTTGTCTATGATTGGTGGAATGATTGGTGGATATTGCTTGCAAGGCCGTCAATGATTGGCAGATGAACTTGCGATATCTTAACTTTTTTTGAAAGTATATGCACTGATGTTGCATATATGAGCTGGCAAGTGGGCGGGGTTTAGTCATATTTAAGAGTTGTTCGTCGATTAGCTTGCTAAATTATAACTTTTTGTATGATGATACGTTAATCGTCGTCAACGTTTTCCGTACATAAAGATATTAAATTTATTGTTAATAGACAAAAGGTTATCCTTTTTTCTAAAGATGAATTAATGGCTGTACAAGATTCCTCCTGCTGAATGCCTGATAGTAAGATTGGCCGCATTAAAATTTTATTTAAAAACATACTGCGTAACTGATGCATTAAATTTGATGAATAATTTACACTATGGATTAATTTCCTGACCATGATAATAATACACGATAGTAATTCTACACCACACGATACATATTTGAATATTAATTACAAACGAGTTTTGCAACAAGGCAGCTATTTAATAAGGCAACTGCGAGTTCAGATAAAAATCCCTTATATTTACGCTCTCGCCAAAGAATACAATGTCTTTTAAGAAAATGAATTCATGCTTACGTTTGCCGAACGTACGCACGGCCAAAATGTGAATTAAAAGTCATATTCGTTTAATTAATCAACCAAGGTTGACAAACCCAATTGTAAATTAGGTATCAGAATCAAGTATAACGATGAACTTTCCTAGCGATCTAATTTACGTTGGTAGAAACATTCAGTCGATTCTTCCAACGCTTAAGGTTTAACTTTGCGCATAACCAAAAATAATTGAAAAAAATAAATGGCTTCAGCATTATAATATCTCAAAGATTCCAGCATTAAATAAAGATCGCTATGTTTGAGGTAAGCTTGACTCCTGATGAAGAATCTTTTTTAATTTGAGAGCTTCAGTTTTTCCAGTGATCGTGCTTAACTTTAAGTTAAAATTTCATTTCATTTTTTCATAGTTTGATGCGAATATTGAGCACAGAAGAACTTCATGTAGTCATTCATGGGGCAGATTCTTGAGCTTGAAGTTCTGCCTAAACCCAAGTCAGTGACACCGCATACGACATTTGTCTGTCATTCACATGTGACAACTGGACGAAATAAACTATACGAAATGAATAGCTCTGGATGCATTAAAACTGAACTGAACAAATTATTCGCATCAAGTTCGGAGAATGAGAAAAATTGCGTGGGTTTGTGATAAATTGTTTATCGAACCCGAAAAGCATGTTCGAACCCGAAAGGAAGGGCATTTTAGCTGAGTATTTTCGTCTAGTTTCGTAATTTTTTGAAAGAAAATCTCCAGTTACAAGAGTCGGCATTGTATTATTTTCTCTTAATGGTTAGATTGAGCTTTTCTACGGGAAATTTTCCTTGCTGAACTTTCGGCAGTGATCCTGAGTTCACAAGAATTTGCCAGGGTGACAATTCAGCCGAACAAATCTGCACTTATACGACTTGGTTATCGCTTTGATCATAGACATTCAATTCAAAATTTGATAGATTCACTAGAATTTATGTAAAAATAATCGTTCACAAATAATAATAACAAATTGTTTGCTCGAATATTTAAAGTACGCAATGACGCCCCAGAGATATCTCAAAGAATGACAAATATAGTGAACTATCTAATAGTTCAACAACATTATTATTATTTTTTCTCTACTTGAGGGGGTTTCGTTCCCCTTATCAAGATCTTTTTGTCCACATTATGTACTAGGGAAGCTAGCCTTCTTCACGAGTAACGCGATGATCCGACTTACGCAAGACCCCGCTGCCCGAGGTCGCGAATCTCGCCATAAGGAAGCCATCACTCGTCGTACGCACGGCAAGGGAGCTGAGCGCAAGCGGCGCTAATCACGTTGGTGCAGCCAATGCCTGAAGAGCGGCGCGGGTATGACAGCTAATGTGCTTGCAGGGGCTCTTGAACGTACAATAGGGGCGGCTGCAGCGAGTACAGACACCCTGCCGGCTTAGCTACACAATTAGGGATGCGCGCACGCAGGTCCAAAGGGAGCCATGGGCACAATAGCGAAGGATCATCAGTCTGAGGATTTAAAGAGTGACGGCTATTGTGGGCATTTTTAGAGAGATACACCATAATGCTACTTCGATGGGAAACAGCAGCTTTGGTGCTACTGATACCCATCGTCAAAAGGGAAATGGTCCCATGAAGTAAATGAAGCACGAGACGTAAAAACGAATAAAATATTTCTTGTGTCCCTCTAAGAATGACAACCATCGCGCTTCATTGGAATGTTGATGAAAATGTGTCGCATTTTATTTCTGTTTTATTTACCTTGTGCATTGGTTTTACTCCCCGTTACACTTTTTAAGAGAAAATTTCTTCTTTCTTTCAGGCGAGATGGAGTATAACGACGCATCAGCATCCCCTGAAACTGAGCCTGGGGGTTTAAACGAAGCGGTTTTACCATCCCGTGAACCTTCCCCTGACGACTCCCCGTCCACACGACTGTCTCCTGAACATTATTCCACGACCCAGCCCAGGCGAACCTCAAAGGTATGCGATCAAATTCTCGATTATTCGGCAACTTCACCAAAGCATCGCTCTTCACCGAACTCTCCACGACGACAACGTGTTTCTCTAAACTCACATCAAAGACTAGAATCTGCTAATAATTCACCTGACGATGACAACAATAACATGAAACCTTTTAATTTTACGCAAGAACGTAATACGGAAAGAGACTCGCCTGAAAACCACCGAATCCAGGGAAGCGATATTGTTCATGAGCGATTAACCGCAAACTCTAACGTAGACTTAGTCAATCAATTCATTATGAACGCTTCAAGACAATTTGAAAGAAACTCGACTCAAAATGTTCCTCTAGAGAACATGAACGGGACTTTGATGGCTCTTTCGAGGCTGGCTGCTGCCAGCGCTGTGCCAAACGAACTTGGGAATTCAGCTGAGAATTCCGGTCTTATACATGCTTTACTTGCAATGCAGAATCAACAGCTCATGCAATTTCAATTGATACAAAAAATTCAAGCCCAAGTTGCACTAGATAAAGCAAAGAGTGCGAAATTGCAAAGGAAAAAAGAAGGTCGTAAATCTCCAGAGACACATAATTATCCTGGTGCTCACCCAATGATAACAATGGCCCCTCAGACGAGCAAAGTTTCCGACGATCCCAGTTCAGCTGGAACTGGACTCAGTGATCTCATGAAGCGTTTTCAAGCTCCCAAGGAACCAGAAAGGAACGAGCGTCGCAGCAAAAGTCCAGTCGACGTAAAGATACGCCCGTTCTCTCCACCTCTGACAGCCTCAAGCATTGCATCATCCGTTATTCAACCAGATGAGCCGCCGGCATCAAATGCACCGAACACCCTTGAAATGTTGCAAAGAACAACTAACGAAGTTCTAAACAACGCATCGCAGGGGATTTTAACGAATAGATTAATAGACGATTACAGCAATAACGAAGGTAAAGATCCTTATTGCAAGCATCGTTGTCGATATTGTGGTAAAGTTTTTGGCAGCGATTCAGCCCTGCAGATTCATGTTAGATCTCACACCGGTGAGCGCCCTTTCAAATGCAATATATGCGGGAACCGCTTTACTACAAAAGGTAACCTCAAAGTTCATTTCCAGCGACATGCACAACGTTTCCCAAATGTAAAAATGAATCCAAATCCTGTTCCAGAACACCAAGATAAACTATTTCCTCCACTTCTAGCTCAATTGGGTGAGCTCGATAGTGAAAATCCAGCGCCCACTGGTCCTCCGAATCCGTTTGGTCCGCTGCCTTCCCCGCCTGGAGCTCATCCTCCACCACCACCACCGCCTCCTCTTCTATCCCCTTTGCCTTTCAGCCTTCCTCCTCATTTCCTGCATAATAGACCTGCACCAATATTCCCCAGTCCGCTTCTCAACTCCCCATTCGAACGAAATTTTGAAAATCGTCCCGATGTTGAATCGCTCGGCCATGATGAAGAGGATGATGATGACCAGCAAACTAACAGCCACAGCTTTGAGAAACCAGAATCACCGGAACCCATGCAAGAGGATGAACAAGCTGAATTTAACCCGACTGTGAAAGAAGAGCAAGAAAATATGGACACATCTAACGACCGGGACCTAAATGATTTTGGCGACGCCAACGAGAGTAAAGGTGAAGCTTCATCGTCATCACAAAACGAAATGAATGATAGTTCTGCAGAGTCAGAGTTTCTTCGGCCCATGTCAGGAGACATACGAATTCGAGGAGATCAGGAATTAAAAAGTGATCAGGACACGGTAATTCCAAAAGAAGAAAAGCGAGATGACATGGAGAGAAATGATGTACAACCATTTCTGTCAGACAATATTTTCGATTCGAACGCACCAAGACATGCAATGCCTCAAATGCCCTATCATCCATTTCTCTTCCCTGGATTATCTTTTCCTATTCATCGCCCATTACTCCATGGGATGCCTCCTTCCTTTGGACCTGCAAACCCAACTCAACCTCCTACCAGCTTCCCTATACCACCAGGTGTTGATCCCGCTAAGGATCCAAACATATACAACAACCTTTTACCAAGACCGGGAAGTACAGACAACTCTTGGGAAGCCCTTATTGAGGTGGAGAAGAGTGATAAGGCAGCGAGACTTGAAGAATTACAAAAACTCGAAGGGAAGAAAGTGGATCCAAATCAATGCATCATTTGTCAACGTGTGTTGTCGTGCAAGTCTGCTTTAGTGATGCATTATCGTACCCACACAGGCGAGCGTCCATACAAATGTAAAATCTGTCAGCGAACTTTCACAACCAAAGGGAATCTCAAAACTCACATGGGTGTACACCGGGCAAAGCCTACAATGAGAATGTCTCATCAGTGTCCCGTTTGTCACAAGAAATATACAAATTCACTGGTGCTCCAACAACACATTAGAACGCACACTGGAGAAGCAACAGATCTGAGCTTAGAACAGATTGCAGCGTCAGAAATTAGAGATGAATATCCACCGTTGCCAACCGCAGGACCATCTCCGTTCCTACCTTCAGGTTTGCCATTAGCTCATCCATTCCTACATGGCTTGATCCCTCCGTTTCCCATGCGGCCTAAGCCCCCGATGAGTAGTAATGGACCAAGACATCTTATGTTTAAGCCAGAGGAAGAAGAGGAGAAATTTTTACGCATGATGGGATCATCCCGATCATCGTCAGCGGGTAGCTGTGAGCAGCGTTCGAATGATGAAGCCTGCCAACCACCACGAGAAGACTCTAGGGTTAACGGAACATCTCCGCGTCCATCCATCTCCCCGTCTCCTTCGGATTATTCAGAAATAAGCTCGAGTGCGTTCAACAGCCAGTCGTCACCGCCGTCTGATCGCACTACTAACAACGTCAACGGTGGAGATAGTCCAACAAACCTGGTGCTAAATCCGGAAACATCTTTAGAGGATAAGAGTGAGGGCCAGAATGACGTACCAACTTCTGCTTCGTCGTCGAATAACGTTCCTCTGGACCTGGCCACCTCCTCCTCGGCACTTCCCAACCCAGCTTCGCTTCTTGGCGGGTTCTTCCCTGGTGCGATGCCGGCTCTACGCAACTCTGCCGCTTTTGCCGGCCCCAACATTCCTACTTCGCCATTCTTCCTGCACAACTTCCATGGTGAATATGATTGTGCTTTAGTGTAATTATTTCTACAATTCATGCAGGAGTTTTAAAACTGTAGAAAGACTTTGGGGTTTACTAGGCGGTAAGTAAAACAGTTCGTATTTACGTGATGTAACAGTTAGTTTGGTTTTCTTTATTATTGTCTATTTTGAACGAAATTTTTATATCATATTTTTACGTTAATTTAATCTTATGGTTTCTATTTTTCGATCTATTTAGCTTCTTTCTATTAACCGAGTACAGCGAGCAACGATATTTTCAAAACAAAAATATACCATAATCATATAAAATTTTAAAATGACGTGAAGGTAAATTCTATTTCTCTATTCTACTTTATTCTATTTCTGAATTCTATTTTATTTCTTGATTCATATTATTATATTATAAAAAATATTTCAACTTTGATCTGAATCATTTCAATAGAAAAAATCTTTCTATACCCATAATTGTGTTCACACAAAATTAGTCCTTGAAATTTCTTACCAATGTCTTTTAATTTTTCAGGGACACTAAATTTGAAATATTTGGTGTGGAAAGTACAAATAAAATTAAAAATAAATAATTCTTTGCGTAGTTAGAGTTTTCGCTGCATATGTACGTTGTGCCATTAAGTTTTTGCATTTGTGATTGCAATAAATTAGCACTGTACATTTGTACCTGCAACACGATTTCGTGGAAATGAAGAATGCAAGTATGCAATTATTCCTTCAATTAAATCATACATCTGTCCGATCAATGCAATTGACGTTGTCTTGTCGATACCGCTGTACATTTGCATTGGCAATGCAATGGTTCATTTTTTAAGGCAATGCAGTTATGTACAGTTATGTACAGTTATGTACAGTTATGTACAGTTATGTACAGTTATGTACAGTTATGTACAGTTATGTACAGTTATGTACAGTTATGTGTTGGTTATGCGATTCTGCATTTGTGTTTACGATACAACTGTATTATAAAAAATTCATTTGCAATTCAATTGTATGCAGAGGCATAATGAAATTCAACATTTGTGTAGTCATTGCATATTTACATTTGTATTTGCAATGCAATGTTATTTCGCGCATTTGTGTTTACGATTCAACTAAAAATGCCTTTGCAAGTCAATTGTATGAAGAGGAATAATGAAATCCAACATTTGTGTTGTCATTGCATATTTACATTTGTATTTGCAATGCAATGTTATTTCGCGCATTTGTGTTTACGATTCAACTAAAAATGCCTTTGCAAGTCAATTGTATGAAGAGGAATAATGAAATCCAACATTTGTGTTGTCATTGCATATTTACATTTGTATTTGCAATGCAATATTATTTCACATGTGTATTTTCAATGAATTTATGCTTGCAATGCGTGGGTGCAGAGGTAAATATTGTGCCGTGGCCGCTGATTACAGCGGCGGACAAAGCTTCGGTCAGTCAGAGTCGGTCAGTCGGCTGTCAGAGTCGCGTGCTTGACTCCAGCTTCATTGAAGAGAAGCTATAAATTATGGCGACCGCTCGGCGAGTGTGGCGCGAGAGCAGGACGAGCTGGCCATTGTGCAAGCGCACGTGACTTTGCCGTCATTTTCACGAACTATTCCAAAGCTTCTTGTAATGTGTCCTGAACTTGACAATGCTCGATATGTCCCTTTGTTAACTCGAGCCTTCAACAATCCAAGCGAGAAAATCGATGAGAAACGGAATGAAATTAATCTAATGAAGGAAGGATTTGCCATCGATTTTATACTTAGGGTTTCGCAGTCGAACAGATGGCTTTACTTCCTCTGAGTGGGTTCACACTTTGAGTGGGGTCAGTCCATGAGTGAGTCCAATATTTGAGTGGGTCAACTATTTGAGTGGATTCTCTCTTTGACTAGATCCACTATTTGAGTGGGATTTGAGTGGTGTCACTCTTTGAGTGGGGTAACTCTTTGAGTGGTGTCACTCTTTGAGTGGGGTCACTCTTTGAGTAGGATCACTCGACATACTCCTCTTAATGCGACGCGATTAGTTGGCTTTTTAAATTGCGTTCATCCGCTGAATAATCAAAAATTTTGAGTAATTCCTATTCTAGCGGCTAATCAATATTCAACTTTATTCATGATGAAAATCGACAAAATTACAACTGAAGGCTGTGATCACTCGGGATACATTATTGTTTGATGTAGCAATTGAGATCTATTCCTACTATTCATGAATAATCATTCCTAAAATCATTTCCATCATTATTTTATACAATATAACTATCACGATAATCGACATAAAGTAAAAATTAGTCTATCAAAATAAAGAAACCAACACATCAATCGTATTTTTGTGTTTTAACCTGTTAATTTTTTTATAAACAAACACTTAAATCGAAGTTTCTATTCTATTATAATTTCCTTGTGAGTATGCAATATTCGTGTCTGATGTTTTAGGTATCAATATCCATTTGTGCATAACACTTTTTTTTTATTTTTTTTCATAGAATATTTTTGCTGGTAAATATTTCTATTATTGTTATTTTTTTCTTTACCACCAAATTTTAAACTTAGTTAGAAGTAAATAAAATTTGAAGATTCTCTTGCCTTCAATACATTGTTGACTAATAAATATTTTATTGTATCCATTCAGTTGGTTCGTCTAATGGAGCGGGGGGTGGGGGGCCGCCGTTCCCCTTGTCGTCCCTGCAAGTTGGGGGAGGGGGGGTGTCCCGTCCGTCCCCTCTCGCAGCCACCCAGCATGTGGGATCTGCTTGAATAATTCCCCACCCGTCCGTCCCCTCTCGCAGCCACCCAGCATGTGGGATCTGCTTGAATAATTCCCCAGCCACATCACAGCCACACCAGTAATATGACATCCCCACATCAGCCATATCAGCCACATCACAGCCCCACATCCCAAATCAGCCAAACTAGCCACCCCATCCCTCCACATCATAGCCACATCAGCCACATCATAGCCACATCAGCCACATCATAGCCACATCAGCCACATCACAGCCACGTCACCACAACCCCATGCAACCCCACAACGCACATCAGCTGTAAGCCACCACCAGCCTAGCCGCCCATCGTCACCCACATACAGAAGAAAGAACACATCCAGCTCTGCCAGGTGAGTGGAAAGCATATGAATGATTGGATACGTTATACGTTACGTCACATCCAACGTCAGTCGTCGGTCCCGTTGGTACGTTACGTCACATCCAACGTCAGTCTTCGGTCCCGTTGGTACGTTACGCCACATCCAACGTCAGTCTTCGGTCCCGTTGATACGTTACGTCACATACAACGTCAGTCGTCGGTCCCGTTGATACGTTACGTCACATCCAACGTCAGTCGTCGGTCCCGTTGATACGTGACGCCTAAGACGACGTCAGTCTTCGGTCCCGTTGATACGTGACGCCTCAGACGGCGTCAGTCGTCGGCCCCGTTGATACGTTACGTCACATACAACGTCAGTCGTTAGTCCCGTTGATACGTGACGCCACGGGCACGAATGTTAACTCGCTTAAAAAGTCTTTCCGGCACTGCCGCCGTACATGTCGTCTAAACCAGCCATAAAGTAGCCATACCACACACTAGCCATGCCACACACTAGCCATGCCACACACTAGCCATGCCACACACTAGCCATGCCACACACTANAACCGATCGTCGTTTGGTGTTGGGTCGCCAATAAATGCCAGGTAAGCTTTCCTTACCATAAGAAGAATGTTTATCTCTACACTTTATCAACTTAAACAATCATTAACAAACAAAACTACGGTTGTTTGTAGCTGAGATGCAGGAAGCCTAGCTATGTCAGTATATAAGTTGGGCACGTTGTTCATGGTTGAGATGCAGGATGAGTAAATAACTCTCAATCGCTTCAACCAAGCGTGTAGTGTAAGATGTATGTACGTCAAAATTATGTACTCATTAACTGTTGCAAAAATTAATGTTGGTAATACAATCTAGAGATCAGATACACAATTTCTGAGCGAATTTATTATTTCTTGATTATATTTCGAGAAATTATTTTTTTTTACTTTCCAGTAGCTATTAGTTTCAAATCTGAAATTTAAGGCCTTTGCCATAGCCTACCTGATATGTGGATTTCTTTCTTCTCTTCCAAAAGGTCGCAGTCGCCAAATCCACCTCCCGTCAACGAGGCCCGGATGAACTTTTATCTGATGGCTGACTTCGTATTCAAATCCGGCAAAAATCTTCATTTACAGAATACGAAAATTCAAACAATACCTTCATTTTTTGTTTGCAGCTCATCCCGAAAATCTATGGGACTTCAGAATATTTGGCAGGATATGAAGTCCCTCGCTGAACATGCAAGTCTGTTGAATGCTTCATCAGAAATTTTAATCTCAATTCGCAAATCCTGTGATTTGTGAATTTTGGAAGCGTAAATACATCCTACTTCTGGCGGCTTGCGACTTTGCGACACTGGCATCAACTTTTCCTGTATTCAATATAACAACCGATTCACAACATCGAGCATCCGTTGATCTTACCTCAGCATTCTGAACACTAGCAATCCCCACGCACAATATTCTTCTTCACGAAAAAAATCAAGATCTCGTCAGATTTGGGATCCTAAACGGCGACAAGCGAATACAGAGACGTCGAGAAGATTTTGCTCGTGGACTTGGTTGGGCTTGGCGATGCGAAAAGGCCAAGAACATCTGGCTGGCCTTGGTACTCAAATCGGGCGGCCAGGCGGCCGAAAAGATCTGCTGGACTCGTGCCGGGCGGCCAGGCGGCTAAGAAAATCTGCCTCGACGACTCGACTGGAGCCGGGCGGCCAGGCAGCCACGAAGATGTGCCTCGACGACTCGACTGGAGCCGGGCGGCCAGGCGGCCACGAAGATGTGCCTCGACGACTCGACTGGAGCCGGGCGGCAAGGCAGCCAAGAAAATCTGGCCCAATGGCAATGTCTGGCCTGGAGATTCGACTCATATTCTCGGCATGCACCTCGAAGAAGATTTGCGTCTCTCGCGCTGTCCAAAATTCAATCCCTGGATTGGAACGTCCTCTCGCAGTCATCTTACAAATTGATCTATTGCCGAGCCTCGCATGGGTGAAGAGAGTGGAGCGCGATCCTGCTCCGTTGTTCAACTTCAATTTCATTTGACTAGATCAGTGATCTTGACCATTTTTACCATTCAATTTTTCCCAATTTAATCATTTTATCCATAATTTTTTTGTTACTATTTAATTGTTAACGGGCAAAAGGGATGTTATGAACTTTTTTCACGTATTCTACCTGCTTTGTAGCTGTGAAAGAACTTGTTGATAATTTCAATTAACATAATCGTTACACTGATTTCATAACATTTAACTCGACACTTTATTAAAAATAGAGAATGTTGATCTTGCTTTCTGTAGCCACGAGTCTACTGACCTGGCAGTATCTTCGTTCAAAAACAGCCTTTTTCGGCCTAATCTTTATTTTTTTATTCTTAGAAAATACGTGCTTTGTCGGCAATTTGATATTTGTTAGTGGCTGAAGTAAACACAATTGGACGTTCAAGTTAGACACCGACTACAGCATTAGAAAAAATACTTTAGAGAAATACATACTCGAGAAATATATACTAATTGGCATGCCATATATCTTGAGCTTATATTGCACAGGTACGAGTGCTGAATATCATTTCTGCTCCAATAATATGAGGATGTTACAAATGTCACTGCCTCATAAAATACTCTGACAAAATGAGTGTATGTGTATAGTTGTATGAGTAAGTTTTTTGTATATTTTGTACAACTTGTAAATTAATGAGCAAATTTTCATGAATTATGGTGTTACAACTCGCTGATGAGGTTCACGGTAAATTTGTTAATATTAAATAAATTCCTTGAGAGTAGCATTTCACCAAGTGAGCATTATTTTCTCTTAGAGTAGCTTTCACGTAGTTCGAGGGAAATGATAGGAATTTAAACTCCAGTTGCATGAAAATTCACATAAGCAACAAATTCAGAGGAAGTCCGGTACACCACGATGAACGCTGTAATATATACCATAAATATACCTTCGCAACCTTGTTGCGTTGCCTTGTTGTATACCTTGTTATGAATATAATAATTATACGGGACATTATCCATATTTTTACTTTCCGAATCATTTGACGACTCCTGTGTATGTGCTCAGTTATTTACACCTTTCCAAGTTTGCTCTCTGTACGATGAAAATTTATGAACCTAATTCATTCAAAATGAAGACTAAAGTTATTGAAAGAAAAAATTAATTCAGAGCTTTTATTTCTCGTTGCCGCAGTTCATACCGGAGATTTGACATTGGCTTGGCTAGTCCTTAATTCAATAGCAATCATAAATCAAGAAACTAATCTCAAATTTGTAAATACTGAAAAATTATTTAAATTTTATTGCTCGTATGTGGGTAAAATCTTCGAAACAACGCATCACATAAATTTTTAATTTTCCTCGAGCGTGTGGGTGACGGTGTTTCAAACAATTATAATTATTTATTTTAAGATGGAAATTATGTACAAAAATTAAGCTATTTTGACGCGACTTTGTACATGCATGCGTCCATATCATCTCCGATATGTTAAATGTATTTTTTACATGTAAATTGAAGGAAACTACGTAAAATAAGGGAAACTCGAAGGTTTCATCTTTTAAAGGAACTATCATCCAAGAAATAAAAAGTTCATGTTTGTATTTCATGAAAAAATCGAATTTAATTGAGGGATATTTCCACGTGGTGCATAGCATTTTTTTAATCCTATTTTTGTGTATCCGAAAACTTTTATTGTCGTTAAAATTTAAGTATTAAAAATTTGCAATTATACAACAATTAACATTTTTTGCTACGTGCGTTTTTTTTAATTCATAGGAGCGAACATGCAAGTAAATGCTTAATGTATTTATTTTGAAGTAACTCTCTTTGAAGAATTTTTCGAAGTAACTCTCGCACTCTGCAGAATTTTTCCAACGCTTATGAATTTTTCTAAAAATAATTTAATTTGAAGTCTGTACTTTTTTGGCATTACTTTTACGTAAACCTGTAGCTGAAAGTAATTAAAGAAGTTCCCCATCCAGATCAGTTCGAGTAAAACACTTCTATATTCGCGATTGAAAAGATCAGGCTATCGTATCAATCAACTGTGAGCTTCCTGAGACAACACTCAAATAACTGAGGACAATTTGAGCGCCTTTACTTCTTTTATGTTCCTGAATGGTGCCAGAAATTGCATGGCAGTATTGCTAATTAGTTGCTAATTACTCATCTTAATCTTTATCAGATAATCATGATTCGAATAATCCTCGAACTTTTTAATTATTTTTATGGTTTTTAACTTTTTTAAAAAAACTGTGGATAAGAAGGGTGGTAAATTTGCATGAACAACAGGGGTTAATGAACTGTATAAGATAAATTCATTGAAATATGCTAGACTTGTCACAATTTAAATATGTACAATCTCATGCTATTTCATATTTATCATTTAATTACTAGCTATGTATGGCAATGCTTCAAGTAAACCTATGAGCGTACCTATATGTACATTATGAGATATCAAGTGAACTTAACATTTAATCCTGCAAATATCAGTAATGTAATCAGTATCTTTCAAGATTTGGTAATAGCGCTGTTTAATTAATAGAATCCGTATCTTTTAAGAACTTTGTAATAGCGCTGTTTTATGGGTAAACGTTGCACAATTAAAGAGTGATAGCAAGGTTCCTGTACATGGATATTCCCAACACAAAGTTGACATTAACAATGTACCATATATTGCTAGCATATATGTACCATATATAGTTAGCATATATGCACCATATATTGCTTGCAGTCCTGTGTATATGTTTTAGCTTGGCCCTGTTATTTATTATTGCTTAGCATAGAATATTTGTGCTCTCGTACGTGTACGTGTCGGTCTTCTTTGAAGCTTATCATGTTTTTTGCAGTGAACTAGCGGTATTAATAGCATATGTTTAAATGGCAATGTGTTTGTGGACATGCTTGTATTGGATCCAACATATTTTCTGATAATGCCGTGAAGGCAAATTACCTACTCGTTATAACTGACTATAGGTCAGTTGGTCATCTCATATCTTAATGGTAAGCTCTCCCAATGATGAGAAAAACTCGTTCATGATGACAATCTTTTATTTTCCTTTTAAATTTTTAGGAATCACAATATAATGAATTGTTTAAATACATTATTCCCGTAGAATGTTAAGCCAAGCTCCGGTTATTTCATACATTCAAAAGGCTATATATTTTTTAACTCAGAAACATTTTTTCAATGTCGCGCACGATGATATGAGGTATGTCATCTTTTGGCAATTAATTCATTAGCAGAAGATTAAAATAAATCAACGTCTTCCTCTCATTGTATGTGAAATCACTCTAGAGCTCATAATTTAAAAAAAACGTAATAAAGAGCCCATTAGAACTCATAATTTACAAGTGCATAATAAAGAGCCAAACGACTGTTCCTGCTGCGATTTCTTCGCTGACAGTTAATTGACTCGATCAGTTTCGAATTAATTCAAATAACATAACGTTAATTGATCAACGTCATCATCGTTTCAACTTCATGGCGTACAACTGAGCCCATGGAGAACGTTGGATTCAACTCTACGATTGATGAGTAAATAATTTTTATATGTAATTTAGGCTGAGACAATCGTACGAAGACAACAATATAAAAGATTAATAAATAAAAAAAATAAAGTCGAACTTTGTAATAACAAAAAAGAAGCAAAATTTCATCAAATAAACGAAAACAGTGCTGCATTGAAGTGATAGATGTAATCCTAAAATTGTATTTGAAAGCAGGATAACAATGTTATTATTTTAATTATTATCCACACAATTGTACAGTGCATGAAGTCGTCTACATGCGTGCGCAGGATTTTTTTACTAAATTTATTATGGAACTTAAAAAAAATCAGCCACAATCAAAAACATCCAAAAACAACAACCCATCAAACATCCAAAGCAATAATTTCTTCCGTTTTGACTAAAAATTATTCATTTGAATACCATCGCTCGCAAATAAAAACAGGTCCGTCTAAATCGAAAAACTTCGTTAGTTAAAATTCGTAATAATGAATTTACCCTTCATTAAACAACGCTAGCACGATTAACCATACACAAAACATTGTATATAAGCAAGCAAACCAAGTTCATCATTTATCCACGGCGGTAACTAATTTTTAGCAAAAGCCCAACGCTTCTGTATACGGGCAGGCGGATGTCAAGTTTTTAAGTCGCCTGAAGCCCGTCATTGTGGCGTGATAAATGTAGGGCGGGACGTGCCTAAGAACGCACCTTATAATCCTGATGCTCTAATGGGATGCTTGCCGCCTGCAATCTTGTCTCGTGTGTGTACATAGGATGCGCGGTGACTCCTCTAGACTGCTCACCTCCACATCGAGCTGCCTGATCGATGGGTAGCTATGCTAAAACCGCTCATCTGCTAAAACCGCTCATCTGCTAATCTGCTAAAACCACTCATCTAAAATTTTTAATGACTGCCAATGAGTCATTCCTACGTTTTTCATTACCCCACCTAATTTTACAATCCGTCTTTCCAATGTTTTACGTACCTGCAGCAGATGCATGTCTGTGACAGTGTGTACATAGGATGCGCGGTGACTCCTCTAGACTGCTCACCTCCACATCGAGCTGCCTGATCGATGGGTAGCTATGCTAAAACCGCTCATCCCCTGAAAATGTGTTGTAATAAGAACCTAAGAAAGCTCGTGGGCGTGCCGTTTGTTGTGGACAACGTTTACATTTTCTCGGTCAATGCGTCAAGCTGTTTATGTTCAGATTGTCGGACCGGTCAATGTGATCAGTTCTGATTAAGCATTAGTTTTTGATGATTTTTCATATCTGATATAAATAGATCTTATTTCACGAGCGGACTTTATAACACACATATACGTGAAATAAAAGAAAGCTTTCAAATGCTTTGAAAGAATCATATAATCAAATTATCGCTGATTGAGTACATGGTGCCTGAATAAATCATTGTCTATGTCAAGTTTAATGATAATGAAATTCTAAAAGGAGTAGATATAGAGGTATATATACGGTTTCTAACTATTCTGTTTCACAATTAGGTGCAGTGTAAGTAAACGCTTCACTTTTTTGACCACATCAAGTCATCAATGCAAAAAATTATGACAGAACATATAAGAATAATTGTGAAAGATTGAAATTTATCTTTTAGAACACGAGCATCATTTGCTTGCAATTTTAAGCTATATATGTCATAGTAATGTATAAACCCCTACACATTGGGCGATTTAAAATAATAGATTTTCTGAATAATATCACAATTCACTATATATTATTCAGTGAAGTTTTTCTCAACTAAGCAAACATGGCACGTTGAAAATTCATTTTTCCCCAACATCAATGTGTGCAAATTCAAATTTTTCATTACCAATTATAAAAATCAAGATTCGATCGGTGTCCGAACGTGAAAGATTCAATTCTTAAAACTTGATAATTTCGAACACCAAACAAAACATAAACATAACATAAACATAAACATAAAACATAAACATAAAACATAATTGATACATTGATGACGAACCTGCTTTTGTCTTCTATTCCGCATATTGAAAAAAATTCATTGTAAGCGCAAAGGCAACATAAAGAAACGTAAGGCATACTAAATTGCTACGTAATGCAACGTAAAGGAACTTAATAAATGTAAAGCAACGTAAGGTAACGTAATGTAACGTAAGGAAACGTTATAGAACGTAATGCTACGCAATGCTACGTGAAGGAACATATAATGCTGAACTAAACTACAATATAGCCCGTCCTATACAACAACGTATTTGTATTAAACTGAAAAGAGATTCTGAAACCCGCAACTCATGCTCATCAGAGTGCAATTATTTCTTTGGAGTTCCTTAACTTCGGTTTTAAAAAATATTTAACAACTTTTTAATAAACAAGAAAGTTTTTAAATCTCATAATTTTCCTACAGAAGAATTCGTTTCCCTGTAACAACTTGGGTGTACATTGTACATCACCGCTATAGGTGAGGCGTTCCTTAGTTACTCTCGTTAAAATAACCACAAAACCTCGGCTTATGATGGTCTTTGCACCGCAAACCGAACTCGTTTTGTTGACTGGTTTGAGTGCAGGCGTCGAGACTGAGACTTACCGTATCGCAGCTGAAACTCACAAAAACTTATGGGTCATTTTGTCCAAATAGTGACTCGCTTTCTTACTCACAACACTAGCAGAGAACGGGAACTCCCTTTTGTTAGGCCAAACTGGGTCAGGGTGAACCACATGAGGGCTGAAAGTGGATGGGTATTTGGACAAAGGCTCGCTCTTTTCTTTGAGTGTACACGTCAAGTTCTTGAAGTGTCGCCTTATTTATGAAGCTCGGTCTCTACCTGCCCCAGCGGGTGTCTCTGCCGGACAGCTTATTCACTTCAAATGTTCTTTCTTGTTACAACAACTAAAATTCGGATGAAGACGGAAACGAATATCTTGGTAAATAAATTAAAATAGAGCAAATTGGAAGCTATAATTAATTGAAAGAATTAATTATGAACTTATTCCAAAGTTGTTAATATATTTATTTAATCCTATATTTCAAAAATCTCAAAGAACATTTGCAGTTTGATGAGAATTACTTGCAAGTTTTACAATCTCTTTTCTGTTTAATACTTAATAAAGTTTAAACATCATTTAAGGCTTTATGCCTTCACCCGATTATTCTCAACTTCTTTTAACCGCTATTTTATTTAATTATATTTTTAACGTTTGAGCTCATGAAACAAGTTTTACTAAGCTTTCTTTCTTTTACATACAAGAATGAAATCTTACACACATTTGCAAGTTGAGGAAACTGGTCTGTCTCTGTCAGCTGGATATGTTATATATAATTATATTTTAAAAATCATCTAAGTCATAACAACCATAAATTTATTGTTCAATCTTCATCAATTCCTTTATTTAATAAAATCAATTTTATCTAACATAAAGTAAACGAAAATTTATCTGCTATCATCCACCATAATTCAACACTGTAAATGAATATTTTAATATAATATGGTGTATAATTATATATTTTAGTATTCATTTGTATATTTCCAGCTTTTTAATATGATATATAATTGTATATTTTAGTATTCATTTTTATATATCCAGTTTATGTTCATCCTATAGCAGTAATGCAAGTTATTGTTCATTGTGAAGCTCAGGAAGCAGCGTCGCGTTTACGAAACAATAGCCCGGTGTACAACAATTGAGTTTGTCTCACACAGTCGCTTCCATTATTTAAAATCGCTGGCAATTCCTCGAATTAAAAAAACAACCGTCGAAAATTCAATGAATTTTCACTCGTTTTTATTGAAATGAGCGATCTGGCGTCATCTTAAGAAGAGCCATGGAACTTCAGTTAAAACTGTTTTTTCATAATATTTGCAATTTTTACCTAGACAAGATCATTAAAATTCACTGAATAAATATAATGAGTATTATTACTGAATAAATATAACGATTATTAATTTCTGAATTATATAAATTATTAATTTACTTGAATTTTAAACCAACATAAATTATTAAAATATAACAATATTATTTCGGTTTATATATCATAAACCAATCGTCTCCTGCACGCCATCAATAACAATATTCACCGTTAATTGTTCTCGTTGAAACATAGACAAGCAAAACCCGCTTTCTCATTTGCCTGTTATGATGCATATAAGCAAGAAGTAATCGGATTTAAATGGAACAAAGCACGAGCCAAAAGTTCTAAGAAGACTTAAGTAAACCAGGCATTGTAAGCGATGTTCAGCAATGTTTTTAATTTTAATGTTTTTTTGTGTAAGTGTAAAAATAGTGAAAGTGTAAAAATTTTAATAATCATGTTTACACTTTCAACAATTTAAACATTTGAAGCAGAAATTGGGAGCTGCGTAACGAGAGATAAAATATGGCTTATTGCATTTTTTCACACTATAGATTCCCAATAACCCCACCTGTATCCATGGGGTTATTTAACAATGCAAATATAATTGGCTGTAATGCGAGTGAGAAAATTTTTCAATCGGATTTCCATTCTAACTAATAATTTAATTGAAATTATTTCATCTATAATCGAAACGTA